GCAAGTGCAACGAGGTCTGACATCGCGTTTGCTGTGAGGAAACTGAGTCGGTTTGTTTCCAATCCGGGTGATGTACATTGGCATGCTATTGAGAGAGTTATGCGCTATCTGAAAGGTACTATGAACTATGGACTTCACTATACCGGGTACCCGTCGGTACTTGAAGGGTATAGTGATGCGAATTGGATCTCTGATGCTGATGAGATGAAGGCCACAACAGGGTATATGTTTACTCTTGGAGGTGGTGATGTTTCCTGGAAGTCTTGCAAGCAAACGATCTTAACAAGATCGACAATGGAAGCAGAACTAACAACATTAGACACATCGGGTGGCGAAGCAGAATGGCTTCGAGATCTCTTGATGGACTTGCAAGTGGTTCAGAAGCCGGTTCCGGCCATCCTTATGAACTGCGACAATCAAACAATTATTGTCAAAGTGAAGAGTTCAAAGGACAACATGAAGTCCAACAAACACATAAGAATGAGATTGAAAGCTGTCAAAAAATTGAGAAACTGGCAGATCCCTTTACTAAAGGGCTATCACGTGTTGTGATAGATAGTGCATCAAGGGAGATGGATATGAGACCCACATGAGTTTCTATGGTAGTAACCCAACCTATGTGATCGGAGATCCCGTGAAGTAGGACCTGGGGAAACAAGCCAGTGGTGAACTGAGGAGACTAACCTTACTAACCCACTCCGTTGGAGATGCAATACTCTCGGAAACTGTATGGAAGGATGACTACTGTCTTAATGTGTTCCAAGGCTTATATGTATAAGCAAGATGCTATCTTACAGAGCGATCTTTGGAGGAACACACCTATATGAGCCCGACTGCTGGTCACAGTCTATGAGATTGGGGTGATCTCTAGCAATCTCATGAACAGGCCAGGAGTGTGACTAATATGCTCCACCCGAGGGGTCGGCCTTCGGCAGCCTCGTATCAGTGAGACTTGTGGTGAAACTTCTTGACGCCAAACTGACAATTCAAGGCATAGTCCATTGTTCAGTTGTGAAGGAGTGTAACTACTTAGTCTAGGTGGAGCTCAACCTTAATCGGTCTCCACTGAGATGCTGGTATATCAAAACAGCGTTTGGAACAAAGGACAAAGTGGGCCCCTGAGATCTGGTGGAGGATTGTTGAAATATGAGATGGGCCTAGAGCCCATATGACAATTTCAGATTTAATCTCTAAGGGCCCATGTAGGTGGCATGACAAGGTGGTGGGAAGTTTAGTCCCACCATGCTAGTGGAAGGAGAGTTGGAGTGGTTTATAAGGGATTCTCTCCCTCATGCTATTGGAGATTGAGAAGAAAAGAAGCCCTCACGCACTCCTCCTCCTCCGCTCGCCTCGCCACGCCTCGTCGTCGCGGGTTGCGGGATTGAGCCGAGCCGAGCTCACTCCTATGCGCTTCTTTTTGCCAGTCAGGAACGGAGAGTCTTTGACAGGTAGGGCCACGATCTGAGACGTCGGATCATGGGCTACCGACTTGGACGTGGGTTCAGCCCACGTCTCTCCACGCGCGGCCGCACATATATATGTGGGGCGCTGCCAACCCTAGGCGCCGCGAAACAGAACGCATCTACGCCTCCACGCCCACGTCGTTCCTCTGCTGTTGTTGCCGCCGGCGACTCCATCCCGTTCACCGCGTACACGGTTAACGGGAGAGCAGGCCTCCGAAACCCCGCCTCTCCGGATCCTGTACGGGAGAGGGGCGATTAGGTTTTTGGGTAGCGACTACGCGACTGCTCGCTTCTGTTCATCTACGTCCGCATCACCTTCGTCATCACCATGTCGACCGACGCCGACCGTGCCGCCGCTGAGAAGGCCGAGGCCGACAAGAAGGCCGCCGAGGATACCGCGGTTGTTGCCACCGTCACCGCCGCCGCGTGGCCGATTGGAGGGTATACATCGTTTATCCCTCTCGTGTTTCTTTCTGTTGTAGCAGTACTAGCGATATGCGTAGATGTTTCTACTATGTGCGTAGTACATGCTCTGTTAAATCGTAATCAGTGTGTTATTAATGTTGTCCATGTCATGCTCATAATCGGTATGTGGTTGTTGCAGCATGTACAGGCGCAAGGAACCGGACGTCGGGGCCAGGCTAATACCACACTGTCTGGCTCGTCTAATCGTGCGTCCAACATCTAACTTAATCACACTTTAGGGCCAGGCTAATCACACTTTAGCACCAACCAGGCCAGACAGACATTTCCTATTCCAGGACAAACAAAACACATACCATTCAGAGTCCAAGTAGCGTCTAGGGCAGGCGTGTGTTGGCGTGGATTCCAACCAAACTAGCCCATAACTCACACGACAGGCGGCACAAAAAACGGTGCATGCTACCATACAGGTCATGGTGGTTCGAAAAACCATCAAAAGAAAAGAAGTTTTTTAGCTTGAAAGAAAAGAATCTTTCTTTAGATGGGAAAGGAAAGAAATCCTTGATGCCATCTGTTCAATGTCCATCTTTCTTAATTCTTATCACACTGTAATAATTTTTTATTTGGAACCTTACTATACTAAGATATTTCGCTCCAGGCCAAATATGTGCAATCAAGTTTTCTTACAGCAGAAGGCCTTATCCAGAAATACCACCACAAACGAGGTCCATATCGCAAACTTGCGCCACTGTCTCACCAATCGTCACACCCGGTCTCGTCCCCTTCCCCACCCATCGGCGACCTCACCCGCCCCCTCCCTCCTCGATCCGCGCCCACCCGCTCACCGGAGATGCATCCCGCCGGCGCCAGGTACTACTCCGCCCCCATGTACTACCCCATACCCCGCCTCGCCTACCAACCCTACAACTCGGCATCGGCGCCGCAGTACTAACCCTACCCGACCACACAAGACTTCACGCCCGCCATGTACCCCGTCTAGCCACCGCCGCTCGCCGACCACCATACCCCCCACCACTACCTGCCTGCACCCCCTTCCGCCACAACGCCCTCGCCACCGCAACCGTATTACTTGTCACGGACGTGATGCCTATATGCATGATCATTACCTTGAATATCGTCATAACTATGCGTTTTTTTATCAATTGCCCAACAGTAATTTGTGTACCTACTATATGCTTTGTGTTCGAGAGAGAAGCCTCAAGTGAAAACTATGCCCTCGGGTCTACTTTTATCATATACAGAATCCAAAAATACCTCGCTGCATTTTTATTTCCTTTATTTTGTTTTACAATTTATTTTATCTATCTACGACTACGAGATTTGATTATTGCAAATAACCGCCAAGGGGATTGACAACCCCCTTGATCGCGTTGGGTGCAAGTATTTTGTTTTTGTGTGTGCAGGTGCTGCTAATGAGATTTTGTGTGGTTCTCCTACTGAATTGATAACCTTGGTTCTTAACTGAGGGAAATACTTATCTTTACTGTACTACTTCATCCTCTCCTCTTCGAGGATATCCCAACATAGCTCACAAAGTAGCAAGGGGGCACATCCCGCACCACACAAATCTTATCCACTGCAGCACCCTACCACCAGGGATCTGGGCGGTAGCAGAACACAACCTACCACCAAGGACCCCGGCGGTAGGTCCCTTTGCCACGTAAGCGCACAGTGACACCCGCGGTGCCTGCCGTTACACCTACCGCCGGGGTCCCCGGCAGTAGGGTGTGTACGGCTTACGCCTAGGTTGGTGGCGGTACCAAAAGAGTCAGATCCGAAATAGTTTCAAATGGGGGTCAGATCCGGCTAAACTTTGGCAAAATGGTCAAAACACCAAAATCGGCCGCCATAGGCCACAACCTTCTTTTTATATTTATTTTTTATTTTTCCAAATAATATATATATATTTTTATTTGCAGAAAAATGAAAAATATTAATCAAGCATTTGAAAAGAAGTGTATAGAAAAATGTTTCTCATGTATATGAAAAATATATACAAAAAATACAATGTGTATGACAAATTGATCATGTATTTAAAAAAATGCTTATCAAGCATATATGTTAATCAAGTAATTAAGCACTTTAAAAAGGTTAAATGTGTATAGAAAAATGTTTCAAATGTACACTAAAAATGTACAAAAAATATACAATGTCTTTCAAAAAGATGATTTTGCATTCAAAAGTTTTAATCATGTATTTGGAAATATTAAATGTATATAGAAAAAATGCTTCCCATGTATACAAAAAATGTATACAAATATTTACAATGTGTATGAAAAGAAAAATGATCATGTATTTTAGAAATGTTAAACATGTGTAAAAAATGTTGATCATGTGTTTAACATTTTATTAATGGCAATAAACAATTTTTACACACAATGTATATGTTCCATATACATCAGTAATATTGGTGTCTATTTTTCTTGAATGTGTTTTGTAAACTTTTTGTATACGTCAAAAATATTTTTATACACATTTAACAATTTGAAAATACATGATCAACATTCTTCATATAAACAAAAAAACAACAAAAACTGAAAAATAAACAAATGAAATCAAAAGAATAAAGAAAAAGAACAAAACCAAAGAAAACCACCGCAAAAAGAATTGAGAATAGTGAAACCGAGAATGACACAAAGAAAACCGTAAAAAACAAGAAAGATAGAAAAGAAACCCTAAGAAAAAGAAAAAGAAAAGAAAAAAGAACCAAAGAAAAATGAGGAAAACCAGTAAAGAAACAAATAAATTGAAGTACAATGGAGAAAAAAGGAAAACCCGATCAAAAAACAAAGAAAATTAATGTATAACAAAGAAACAAGAAAACCGAAGAAAAAAAAAGAGAAACAACCTAAAAAGAAAATAAAATGAAAGAACCGTGAACAGAGCGACAGCGAAAGAGATCAACGCGCGGAAAATGTGCCGGAAAAGCCTTAGCCAAGAGAACCTTCTACCTCGCGTGAAGCGAGATATAGCTCCCCCGACAGGCGGCACCAGAAAAGTCGATGCAGGCTACCAAACAGGCTATTAATGGACGGCAAACCACCGAAAGAAAAGGATCTTTTTCTTTAGCTTGAAAAGAGAAAAGAATCCTTGATGACATTTTTGGTCAGAAAAATCCATCCTTTGATGGAATCTTGTTCCATGTCCATCTTAGCACACAAGAACAGTTTTTCATTTTGCACCTTACTATACACCGATATTCGCTCCAGGCCAAACATGAGCAGTTTCCCAACTGCAATCAAGTTTTCTTACAGCACACACACACCAGGGTCCTTATCGCAAACGCGCCCACGCTCTCACCAGTCGTCTCCTTCCTCTGTCCGTCCCCCCCTCCCCCACCCACCGGCGACCTCACCCACCCACCCCCTCCCCGATCCGCCGCCCGCCCGCCCGCCGGAGATGCATCCCGCCGGCGCCGGGGACTACTCCGCCCCCTCCTACTACCCC